TAAAAATACACCAGAGCAATGTAAGCACAGAACATGTCCTTGCTAATGTGCAACAGCAAGCATCTGCTGTACCAACAAAGAGGCAAGCAGTCACTGCCAGAGCCCCTCCAGCAGGCAACACCAGGGCACACACTTCTTCCCACTAATGCAGTGCTTCGTCTGTATCATGACATCAGCCTGACCTTCCTGGAAACCTGTTAGTTCCTCATTTTCTCTCACCTGCCCCTGTATGGAAAAAGCTAACTAAATGTGAGCAGGTGGATACGTAGTACGAGCAAAAATGACACCTGATATTTTTTGTTTCTATGCACACAGAAAGCTTGCTTTTTTTTTTTTTAATTCTTATTATTTTTAGAGATAAGTACAAACCTGCCACATGACCACCTCTAATCACCCTCAGGATGTGTCTACAGTGTACCTGCAGGTGTGGCTGCGGCACATGTAGAGGTTCAACAGCAGTGCAGAGGGGGCAGATGGCACACTCATGCTGACAGCACACTGTGTGTGCTCTCCAGAGGGTTTCCCAGCTCCTGCAGCCCCTGCCTGCCCAGCCTGGCTGGTCAGTGCACACACCTGGCCCACTTCCCAAAAGCTGCAGTCCTGCCTGAGATAATTGCTGAATAAATGCCCTCTTAAAGCTGTACCTGCTGAAGGAGTAAGATCTGTGAAAAGGAACGGGAGGGTGCTGTGACCCCAGGACCCCTCAGCAGCTGCCTGGGTGCTGCCTTCCTCTGCTGCATGAGCAGTGCACTCTGCTGTCCACAGCCCACACTGCAGAGCCCAGCAAGTTACTGCATCTGCCAGGAGAGCACACTCCCTGCTTTTAACAGCAGCAGCAAATTTGTAAGTTTAGGTTAACTTTCTGTTAATCTGAAAAGAAGTCCTCTAGAAATTTGTAGACTGGGATGAAGGGAAAATAATAATGACCAAATGCTAGCTCCTCTCAGCACTCTCAGGCCACACAGGTGAGCATCAGGTCTGCTCTGGTGTAACCAAGGTTCACTTTGTCTTGCAGCTTTGCTGAGTATATTTACATAAACTTGTCTGCAGTAATGGGCTATCCCAGATCCTCCCCTTTTGCCCTGGAAAACCAGGAAGAGGCCCAGCAGCATTCCATACCCTTCCCCCACCACCTGACAGATGAGCAGACTTTTCTCTTCCACCTACATTGGAAGGGAGATGGAAGAGACAGACTTGCATTCCCATTTCAACAGGGATTTTAGGTTTCCCCCTTCCCAAAGACAAGCCAGAACAATTCCAATCCTTAGTCTCTTTCTCCTACCTCGGTTGCTGTTCATGGTGTAGATGATGATTTTCAAATCTCATGGTGTGTTAGTGTTAGGCATTCCCTGTTTACCTTTGAGGGTGTCTTTCCCAAGGTATGATTCAGCCATGCTATTGCATGGGTGTACTGCTCTGCAACTCCATTCTCCTGGGATTATTCCTACCTCTCAGGTGTTGCACAGGGAACTTCAGCACCTAAGTCCTGTCCTAGACTGCAGTTTTCAGGCCTGTGGGTTTAAATGGTTCCTTGGATTAGCTTTCAGGAACCACTCTGGTCATACCACTGTAATTGAACAAGCCTTCATTATTCAGTGAAAGTGGAGAAAAGGAATTGGGAGAGAAGTTATTTTCAATGCACAGACAGAGGCACACCAGAGTCCCCATGCTGGGGAGTCCCCAGCCTGGAAAGCACTGATCAGCCTTTTCCGTAACAACAGAGTTAGGCTGAAACCTACTCTTGTGAACTGGGACACAGCTGGACCAGCTGTTCCTTGCTGGGAGACAAGGATATCCTTCAGGCCCATTTCACATGCTCCTTGTACAGCACAAACACAAGTGATAAAAGAACTGATCACCATGAGCTGTAGGAAGCAATGCTCTGGACTGCACCCAATCCCTCCCTGCTCACGCACTAAAGGGATCCTACAAGGAGAATCTTGGAAATAATCTTAGGAAACAGACCAGTGTTAGCTCAAATGCTCACAACATGCTGGAAGTGGGGCCTCCAACTTGACCAGATCTCTCAGGAAACTGTTTTCATACAAAGCAACCAGACCTTCCATTCTGCATGAAAGCTACAGGCTGGGGTCACTGCCACTGGTCAAATCTGTTTCACTGATCCAGCCCATATCTGTTAAAAGGATGAGGCAGGTGAACATCTGCTGACATAAAAGAATTTTGGATATTACCCTCCCACTAGCAGTCTGCAGTTTTGAACACTGGTTTTGCTTTTCTGAATCCTTTTCTGAATCCTGACAGGCGACAGAGAGCATGACCTGCATAGCTGAGCTTGACTGAGACAGAGGTGTTCAATCCCCACAAAAGTGGAATAGTGCACCTTTCTCTCCTCAGTCACTTTTAACAAGGTTACCTACTAGATGAGAAGTGCTCAGTGCAGCACACACTTGCAACAGCCCAGGAGTTTCAGGCTTTCCATGCTGACCAAACCTCCCTTGCTCACTCAGAAGGCATCTGGAAGAGGGACTTATTCTGGCTACTTGACAACCAAACCCTTTGGCCTCAACATGCCACACCTTTCCAATTGGAAAGGCTCTCTGTTCCCCATGCTGCACTCACACTAAATATGCATGAAACCCTTCTCACACTGCTCAGTGCCCTGCTAACCTTGGCATTCTGTCAGCTTTCCCCACCTTTCTGCAAAAGCAAGGGAAAGGCCTTGCAACACTGATAGCTGTGTGACAACTCCTCCTCCCATGTTTCAGTAGGACAAATGGAGTCCTAGGGAAAAGCAAAGGATGATGGTGTTACTCTTTGCCTTGTTCTGTAAGGCAGTGATGTTACTCTTTGAGATTCTTTAACGTGTAATGGAATTCACAGGGTTTTTCCTAAGTTTAGAGGTAAATCATCAGGTGAGAACAGTTACTCATTGCCAAATTAACCCTGCCTACAGGGAACAAGCCAAGCAGAGGGGCTGCCAGTGACAGCTGTGGAAGGAAAGTCAAGGGTTTGGGAGAGCAGGTTTATAGGTAGGAAACCTTGGGAAAGCAGCTGAGAATTATTCACGTCTGAAATATTTCTGGCCAGACTAAAGAGAGTCACAGTGCATTAGCAGCAACCATCTGTGTGACTTACTGGTGCAACCCCATGACTTTGACAAGGGCAGTGGAACGGGCAGGACTGACCCAGGAGCTCCACAGAGGTGTGGAATTCTCATGCAGAGACACCCCCTAAAGCCCAGTGAAGATATAAAGCTACAGCACCTCACATTGCAAAGCATCCAAAGCACACAACCCTGCTCCTTTTACAGGCTGAAAGGTTGCCTGAATTTCACAAAACATTACATAAAAGAATTTTATTACCCTCCATTAGGCTTTTAATTCTTAAACTTTTACAACAGGAAACTTTGCAGGACAAGGGGAGTTACTAAATACATCCTCCTCTTCAACTTTTGGGGTTTTTTTATACATTTTATATACTGAACATTATGCCCTGTGGAGTATCCCTTTGGTCAGTTTGGATCACCTGTCCTGGCTGTGTCTCCTCCCATGCTCCCAGGCACCCCCAACTTCCTCCCCACCATGGCAGTACAAAAATCAGAAAAGGCCTCAGCTCTGTGTGAGCCCTGCTCAGCAATAACAAAAACATTTCCGTATTATCAGCCTGTGTTCAGCACAAATCCAAAACACAGCCCCGTTCCAGCCACTGTGAAGAAAACTAACTCTACCCCAGCTGAAACCAGCAGGGCTATTTAATAATTTCAGACTGAAAAACTGAAAGCCAGAGAGCTAAGTGACTTGTGTGCATGTGAAAGAGGAAAATGTGAAAACCCTACTGGCCAAAATTACCTTGAAAGAATTCCAGATTAAGCTGAAATGCATGATGACAGTTCATCCTTTCACAGGAGAAACAAGGAAATACTGTGGAGAATTGGCAATTGCTTCCCAGCCCTGTGCAGTATTTCTGTGCCAGCAATTGCATGAGAAGTAATTAAGCAACATTCACAAAACAACACAAGCTGGAATATTATCTCTAGCATCTTTGTTTTCTAAAATACTTGTTCACTGTTAATATTTTGATCTACATCCTGTCATTTCAAGTGTTCTGTGCAGAATCACATCTGTGATCTCTCTTCTCACAGTAAAACTTCCTAAGTCACATCCAATTGTTCATTACTGCTTTTTTAATTGTCTTGGCAAGGTCACTCAGGAACATATCTACCTCTAGCTCACCTTCTCACCATCAGTCAAGAGTTGGTAGGATTGCTCAGTTTTTTAAGACTGAAGTGGCATGAAGTGTATCAAGTCATTGAATTATCTGTGTTGTTTTAGAGACAGAACACCCAGATAAATGGTAGCAAAGCATGTGCTTAATATATCAAGTCCAAAATTAAGACTTCTGAGGGGGAAAAATGGGCATTGCCTATTTCTCAAACTGTGAATGGTCACATCCTGGTACTACATATCTTATTTCTGTAACTTCAAATGGCTGCAGTCAAATGTCAAGAGCACGAGAGGTAAATGCAGCATTCTCTCAGCGCTGTTTCAAATTTACTCATTGTGGCTGCTGCAATTTCATCCCCACACTGAAAGTGATCTTGGTGAGGCTGCTGGGAAGGATGTCCAGAGGCTCCAGTCTGCTCTCATCACTCACCCCAGTGGTCCCACCATGTTCAGTGAGCCCTGTGCTTCTGCAAGCTCCCGGCTCATGTATGGGGGAACTTGGCATAAGAAGCAGAAATGTCACTGGCATAATTTAAAAAACAAAATCCTAATGCTCATGTCAGCAATCAGAGAGTATTTATTTTACTAGAAATTGTGTTGCTATGAACTTGCAAGGGTGTTCCTTGCTGATGATTTACAGATTTCAGTAATGGTCCCTCCTACCATGTGAGAAATGAAGCTGCCTGGGTGTTCACAGCCAGCTCCATCAGATGGATTTCACACTGCATTTTTCAGGGAATTGATCTCTTTAATAAGGAAGAGAAAGCCACAATTCCTCCTGTGAATATTTTCTATGGTAAACTCTGCAGACAATGATAAGATAAAAAGTACATGTTCATTTTTATTTCCAATTAATCTGGCCAATACATTTTTAATAGCATTACAAAGTATTTCTGTACAAAATCTGTACATGTGTCTCACAGAGATCAACATTACACCTTCCCTCAAGAATAAAAATCCCAAATCCAGGTTATTTTGCAATCATAATCATTTTTTAACTTAGAATGAAGTTCTTCAGCAGGTCATAACAGATGTAAATGATCTTGTGTTTCATCCATCAGTGACAAAAATCACATGTTTAGCGGAATATTTTCACATCACATCACAACCTGAATTTTCAATAACCCCGCTTCTCTTTTTCTTCTTTATCAAGCATAGCCTGTTTTAGACTCAATGCAGCATCTTCAAATTGGGGGTTTAACTCTAATACTTTCCTGAAATCTTTCATGGCCTCATCAAAGTCTCCTGTCCCAAAAAAGAAAAAAAAAAAAAAAAAAAAAAAGAAAAGTAAAATTATCTTTCTGTAAATGCTCACACTGACAAACCTCTGACAACTCAAGAACACCTCCAATACTTTCACCCACAAAGAAGCAGCTACTTCCTGGACCCATGGCATTGGATTCTCCACAGGCCTAACTGGGAGTCAAAGAGTTTCACATCAAGAATGGACTCAAATGCACTTAGGGCTCAGTTCAGCCAGTTTATTCCCAAGAGGAGGAGACAAAAGGCCCACACCAATAATGAGGCTGCCTTAAAGCTGGCACACAGGCACAGAGCTTCCAGCTGGTGCCCATGGCCCGGCTCCATTCTCCAGTGCCTCGACCTCTGCAATGGCCAAGCTTTAATAGAAGGCACGGGGCTGTCATTTTGGGATGGCATCACCAAAAATGGGGCAGGAAATTCCCCAGAGGTGGCCAGCAGCCCACTGGAAATCGAGAAAGCTGTGCTACAGGTGCTTGGGAGATGCTTTAGCTCAGATTTAATGGCAGTTTTTGGAACTGGCTTGTTTCACCCCAGTGCAAATTTCTCCACAAGTCAACTACACCTTTCCTCCCATTCTCCACGAAGCAGCATCGTTTCGAATGACAGCAGCACAGCCTGCAAGAGGGGTGTAAGCGCACACGGGGGGCAGGCAGGCGCTGTCACTGCTGTCACCGCGTGTGGCGCCGGCCCTTCAGCGATGCCCGCCCTCGTCCCGCCCGTGACGCGGGGCTGCCCGGCCCTGCCGTGCCCGGCTCGTACCCAGCCGGTAGCGCACCAGCCCGCGGTTGTAGTAGGGCACCTCGAAGCCGGGCTGGCACTCGATGGCGGCCGTGAAGTCCTGCACGGCGGCGGCGAACTCCACGCGCAGGTACCGCACCTGCCCGCGGTCGTTGAGCGCCGTGGCGAGGTCGCTGCGGGCACTGCGGGGACAGAGGGATCGGCGTTAGCGGGGCCCGGCCCGGCGCGCCCGCCCCGCTCCCGGCCCCGGCGTTACCCCGCGGGGCTGCGGGCGATGAAGCGGCTGAAGAGCTCCTCGGCCTCCGAGAGCCGCCGCGCCCGCAGCTCCGCCCGCGCCGCCGCCAGCAGCGCCGCCGCCTCCCCCGCCATCGCGATGACGTCACGGGCACGCCGGCGCACGCGTCCACGTGAGAGAGGGCGCTGGGCTGGGGAGAGCTGCCCGCAGAGCACGGCAATACGGCAATAGCGTCTGTAACAACAGCGGGGCCGCGGAGAGACGGTGTTTAACCTAAACCTGCTCTCCTTCATCCTAAAGCCATTCTCCCTTCTCCTATCCCTTTATGCCCTTGTAAAATGACCCTTTTCACCAGTTTACAAGGTGCCGGAGAGAGCTGCCGACAGAGCACAGAAATACGGCAATAGTGTCAGTAACACCACCGGGCCACGGAGCCCTCTGCTCCTCCGCTCCGCTCTCCCGAGCCCCCAGCGGCAGCACAGCGCCCAGCTCGGGGCCGCCGCACAGGCACGACGTGGAGCCGCTGGAGCGAGGCCAGAGGAGACCATGACGATCAGAGAGCTGCAGCACCTCTCCTGGGGAGACAGGCTGGGAGAGCTGGGGGTGTCCGGCCTGGAGAGGGCGTGGTGGAGACCTCAGAGCTCCTTGCAGTACCTAAAGGGGCTCTAAGAGAGCTGGAGAGGGTCAGTTTACAAGGGCATAAAGGGATAGGAGAAGGGAGAATGGCTTTAAAATGCAGGAATGAAGGAATTCTTTACTGTGAGGGTGGTGAGACCCTGGAACAACTTGCCCAGAGAAGCTGTGGATGCCCCATCCCTGGAAATACTCAAGAAGAGGTTGGATGGGCTTTGTGCTACCTGGTCTAGTGGAAGGTGCTGCAGCCCTTGTCAACGGGCTTAAAGCAAGATGGTCTTTAAGGTCCCTTCCAACCCAGGCAGTTCTACTACTCTGTGATTCTGTGGAGATGGGGTTTATCCTTACCTGGCTTAAGCTTAGGTGAGAGACAGAAGAGCTCCTCTGCTCTCCTCTCAAACGTGCCAAGGCACAATGTGAACGCCACAGCTCTTGTCAGGCAGCCAGGTGCTGGCCCTGGGCACAGTTCACCCCGTGCTCAAGGCCCTGCAGCACTGCCAGAGCACAAACCAACACTAAGGTGGGACAGCGAGACATTGTTCCTTGGACCTTTGTGTGTGACGAGGGTGACAATTCAGCTCCTGACATCTGTTCAACAGATGCAGACTGCTCTCCCAAGCTACATGGAAAGTGCCAGGTTCCAGGTTGCAAGTTCATGGAGGTTTCCTTAAGCTGTTGAAGATGACATCACCCAAGCTCAGGAGCCCAAGTGACACACTGACTGCTGCGTGTTTTCAAGCCCTTTATTTTACGGTGGGTTTAAATACACTTAGTAAAAGAAACCAGCACTAATGGGTGCTTATACTGGTATCATCACTCTAGTAACTCTAAACAGTAGTACAAAAACATATATGGTAATATTATCAAAATTATTGTGATGTTATTTCAACTCGGGAATCACTTCCCTCAAAAAACTGTGAATTCTGAGAAAACTCAGTAATTTCTTATGGAATTAGACAAAAAAATTGAGCCTGCTCAGAGTAGAACATATTGATATGAGCCTACATTCAACTCACATGGTTTTGAAACTAGGCTCAATCTAGAATTCAAAAATAATGCTTTTACCTTAAATCTTTTTTCAAAAGTGTAGAAAAAAATGGAATCTATTTACATGGTAATTTCTTCAGCTAAATGGAAGCAGCGAAGGTTTCTCTTGTGGGTTTTCTGTTTTGGTTTTGGGTTTTTTTTTTTTTAATCTTTCTCTAATAGCAGCACTAACTGCAACAATACAGTACCTGAGTTGTATTTCAAAAGATAGTAACATTTTAGAGGCTGTTCTTAGCAGTCATAAATGCAGATACAGAGTCTTTATCCTCAGCTTACTGTGCTGTGGCACAGAGGACAGGCGTTATAATGGCCTGCTTCTTTGGCTTTCATGCAATGCTTACACACACTGCACATCCAGAACTGATACTCCAGGATAGGGGCTCCTGTTGCAACACATACAGGAAGTTTACCATCTCCACTATAAAAAAAAAAAGAAAAGAGTAAAGCTGAAAGAATAAAAATGCGGTGTGCCAGTTGTTGATTAGAAGTTATTAGCTCATGCAACACTTCACTGTTCAAGTAACCAAGTATATAAATCTTCACACCAGAGAATGCCCACCCCCAGAACCATATAGTCAACAAATCAGGACCAGCAGATCCAAAAGATGGGGTGAAAAGAAGCAGTGAAGGCCATATAAAAGTAAGGTCTGATTAGACACCTGCACTGCTATTATACTCTGTCCTCTCATGTCTGAAGGGTCAACAGAATCACAGCTGCTACTGAGATTCTGTACAGCTGCACTGTAGGATCAATCAAGACAGGTTAAAATCTTGTTTGCTAAAAGAAAATTGATTTACAATTGATTTCCATATTTACAAGTTTCCATATTTACAATTTACATGCTCTCAGCAGGAAACGTCAAACACACTGTTGTGGGTACAGCCACTCCAAGGACTTACCCCTTAAATGTGCCCTTCACACTAATTTTAACTTCACATATTGTTCTTTTCACACCAAGTAGATTTGGGTAATTCACAAAACACTGGAGACCTGTTCACTAATAATGTTTAAACAGTCCCTTGTTGTTACTTTCAGCAGTCCACCATGGAGATGCAAACAGTAACATTCTTTAATGTCACATGATACAGTCTCAAAGGTTCTAAAACTCCTGTGCTTTGTCTACCTGCATTTCAAATTAAGATAAAGTTACATCTTTGTGCCCAAATTCTCAAATGCAGTCAGTGTCTATTTTCCCAAAAAACACAGTGCTGTATTATCTTCCTCCAAACTGGCTAACTCCTGCCTGATTCTTGCCCAATAGTTGGTTTAAGCAGCAAAGCACCTAATTAATTTGGTCACACACAAAACCTGCTAAAACCCAAAACACAGCAAACAGCAGAAAAAAGTGACAGTATTATTATATTATCATATAAAAATAAACCCACCTCTCAAGAACATCATCCAGATCAGGTGTTTTGTTATACTTTGGTCTATATCTTGTGAATATCTCTAGAGCAAGCTCTTCATACTGTTGCCTCTGCTCTGGCTTAAGAGTTTCCAAGGATTCTAATTTAGCAAAGGCTTTTGAACAAGTATCAAATGCTCTGTTTGCACACGCACAGAGTGCCAAAAGGGAATAGATTTCAACTGCAGGTATAATGTCTTCATAATCTCTCAAATGAAGAGCTACAAAAAATGAAAAAAAGAAATCCAAGGAAATTATTATACATTTTCTGAAAAGTGCAAGCATCTGTATGAAATAGTTACTACTAGATGACAGTATTCATTCTAAAAATAGGACAAAATGAACCACAGTCTTTTTATTGACATGAGTGAAGCATTGCTCTAAAAAACAAATTAGCAGATTTCACTTGGAAATTGGTGTCTTCTTGAAACATTTTATTTTGGTTGGTTGGTCGTAAAAATATTAGAAGGATTTGATATCTTCATTACTTGGACAAAGTACAAGGCACTCTTTGTTTCTCTAATTCCCACAGATTTTTTGTGAAGCCCTGCAAGGAGGTCTGATGTAAATTCATGTATGCCTTATAATTTAGGGAGAGAAACAAAACAGTCAGCAGAACATCTACAGAGATTAACCAATTTACCAGGTAATATTTGGAAAGATTTGCATTTTGTTCAGCGAAGTCCTTTCCAGCTATAGTGACTACAGCCATATTCAATTCATTATATGGTTTTGGTTTAAATTCCATGGATTTATTAAGAACTGAAAAATGTGGCAGCTATAAATGAAGATATGTGCTGTTTTTACAGGGTTGAAAATTAATTCTTACCTGTTTTAAGTGCTGCATCTACAGAACCTTTATAGAGCTGTTTTTGTGCAAGTATGAAGAAGTGGTAAGCCTCAGCTCCTCGCCAAGCATTGTCTGCAAAGCGATTCGTTGAAGAAAGAACATCTTCTTCCAGCAAACCAGCCAAAGCTGAAGCACTCTGAAAACAAACCAGTATCACAAGTAATTTTTATATGAAACAGATACAGCAGGAAATGGGATATATGAAAAGAGCTTTTCTATACTTGGTGATTACACCACTGTCCATGTTAAGTAGGCAAAATACAAATGGACCTACAGTGAGCATTGTCAGGCATTCTGTACAGAGCACAGACACAACATCTGGTGCAGATTTTCAAAGATAAATATCGTATACGTGTGTATACAAATATATTTTGTGCACATCTGCAGACTGGTTCATAGTTTGGATTAATACTGCATTTCAACACCAGAGCTCTTAAAAATTTGTTTAAACTATTTCATTTGTGCACATGAACATGTAAGCAGAGAAAAAAAAATTCTTCCATTTGCTTCCCCTGTATCTGGAGCCATCTCCCTGCTGAATTACAGTCAACATAGCTTAATCTAATCACAGATCACCCTTTGGGATCAATTCTTATTCCTAAATGACACAAGTGTCTTGAAGGAAGTTTCTTAGTATGGTTTTCATTGTTATAGTGAAAATATTAAGAAAAGCATGTTAAACTTAGGAAGTAAAATATCTATTAATACATACGATTTAAATGTTTTAAAAGAATACCTAAAACAGTATGTTTTCATGGGGGACTTGCTTGAAGGAAAGCTTTGTTCTTAGCAAGGGAAAAGGGGTATAAAAAAACATTATAGGCTCCCATGAAGATGGCTTGCTTTATTCTGACTAGCTAGCAGATACCAGAATTCAGAAAGGGGAAAAAAAAAAGACATTACCTCTGAACTTTTCTCTTTAACTTTTCCCCTTTGTGCATTTTGCATTTGTTCATGGCACTGTTCCATAAGTAAGGCTGATAGCACATAAAGCTTTTTAACTCGCAAAGGCTTCGTCCTTTTCTTTGACTCTTCATCTGCAATCTAAAAAAAAAAACAAAGGGATTTAATTCTCTTGGACAATTGCATGCTTGTACAAACCTAGGAAATCATGCCAAAAAGTGATTCTGCCTTTAAATGTAATAATTTAGACTGCAAACAGAACTATAAATGAAAATGTCAAAGTGAAGTATGCACA